TTTCCCACAGAAACCCCAAATAGGCCTGAGAGGGGCAGCTGTTCCCTCTTCTCCATCATTGAACTGGGGTGCTGGGCCTTGCCTGTGCCTCCCCAGGCTGCCCACCCCGAGACTTCCACAATCAGAGCCAGATCCCACAGTAGAACTCCGTAGGTTTTTGCAGTGATTAGTTCTCTAATGCTGTCCCTGTTTCCATAGAGACCCTATAAATAGAGGGAACGTTGGCGACCTGGGCTTGCAAAGGCTCAGGGTGACCCGGTCACCCTCCTGAACCCTTGTAGTCACACCTTTGTTGGGGAGAGGGACTTTGAGAGCCAGGAGAGGAAGGGCCGGGTGGTCAGCTGCCATGTGGGACCATTAGCTCCAAGTCACTGGTTTTTTTTTTTTTTTTTAAAGGCTCTTTGGGTTTTCCTGGGATTTAATGGGAACACAAGTGCCTGTAGGAACTGGAAACCGCTTTTGGCCATCCTTAACCAGATGATGCCTAAGGCGGCTACCCTGAAGTGGTTTCCTCTTGGCTTCACAAAGCTGTGTTTGCAGAATCTAGAACATATTTCTCCTGCACTCCCCCTTTTTTGTGCCAGTCCTAGAGATTGAACTCAGGATCTGGGCACTGTCCCTGAGCTTTATTGTTCAAGGCTTACACTCTACCATTTGAGTCACAGCTGTACTTCTGGTTTTTGTTTCTGTTTTTGTCTTTGGTGGCTAATTGGAAAAAAGAGTCTCATAGACTGTCCTGCCTAGACTGGCTTCGAGCCATAATCCTCAGATCTCAGCCTCCTAATGGTAGCTGGGATTGCAGATGTGAGCCACCAGTGCCTAGCACACTTCCTCTTTTTAGAGACCCACACCCAGAGAGGAATATGGCCAAAGCCTGACAGCTCAGAAACCACAGCCTTCACAGGAAGGAAGCTTAGAAACTCTGGATCTAGTCCACCCTTCTTCCTGAGAGGGCACTGCCACCCGTGGGGCCCTCCAAGACAGCTCAGCACCATTCCTAACTGCCCTTTCCAGGTTTTAGCTTCCTTCAGGTTTCATGATGTGAAGAGCTAAGTTTCCATCTCACCTCTAACTCTGCAAGCTCCCCATTCTCTACCTAATCTATGGCTTCATTTGGCCACCAAAAATGGTTTTAGGCAGCTGGAGAAAAGCAAAAGTCAGTGTGGAAAAGCAAGTGACATTTAGTAGCTGGAACCTGTTAGTCAGAGCAGGTGGCACTTTGTTGCGTTGGCGGCTGAGTTCCCTCGAGCTAGTCACCATGGTTTTCCTCACTTCTGAAACTTGTGGCAGCTTATATGTATGCGCTGAGTTTTGTTTTTTTTTTTTTAAACACTTACCCATGTTATGTCAAAACTCCTTCCATCTCCTCCCCGACTCCCACGTGCCGCGCAGCCTGTGTGTCGCTCTACCCTTCATACTCACGCCTTGTATGTCAGGGACCCCACCACCACCATCCTTTGACATCTTTTTTGTTCTTTTCCCTCAGGCCTATTATGGACTTTAATGGAGTCCTCAGTGCCCTGTGGTCACCTGACTACCATCTCTGGCTTTATTAATTTTTTTTAACTTGCTATACAGGAAGGGAGATGGGAAATGAAGACCTTGTGATCAAGGGTCTTACCCAAGTCCTATGGTATGGCCTTAGTTGATCCACAGCTCTCCTTGGTGATTTTTTCCATGCCCTTGACGCAGTTCTGTGACATATGCAAATACCATATCTACTTCAGTTTTGAAATCATTGTGTGGGCCAGTGAAAGTAATGTGACTACAAGTTGAAGAGATCATCTCTGTGGCTTCACAAGCCACTTAGCTGTGCTGGGCCTCAGTCTCTTCATCTGTAAAATGGGAGACACAGATGCTACGGAACTTCACAATCCTTACTACAGAAATGAGACTAGTATCAGGATAGAATGGCAGGATAAATTGGAAAGCATGTTGTATAATTTTAAAAATAAATTGATCAGATGGCCTCTCCATCTCATGCCTGTAATCCTAGCTACTCAGAAAGTTGAGATTTGAGGACTGCAGTTTAAAGCCAGCCTGAGCAAACTAATCCTAGAGACTCCTATCTCTAATTAGCCAGCAATAACCCAAGTGAAGGTGCGGCTCAAATGTAGAGTACCAACCTTGAGTAAAAAAGAACAAAAAGCTAAGGGAGAGTGCAAGGTCTTGAGTTCAAGCCCCAGTACAGGTATAAACAAATATGATTAGGACTCAAGACATTGTGGCTGGTAACCCTCCCCAGAACCTGTACTGATTCCCAGGGCTGAGGAACGGCAAATGTCTCTGAGCCTCAGGACCTCTGCTGAAGGCTGTACGGGGCACACTGTCCCTGAGTGGGTACGGAAGAAGGGGCGTTGGTGTTGAAGAAGCCAATTAGAAATGGGGAGAGGAGGAAGAAACTTGGAATAGGATGCTAGAAAGATAATTTGCAGTATGTAATGTGACCATTTGGCATAGGCAGCTAGGCAAAGGCCAGAGCCAGCTGGCTCCATCTGGGATGCCTGGAGGGAGGTCTTGCATCCGCTTGGGCCTGAGGAAGAGGGCAGTGTGTGGCTTAGTCCCAGTCTGGAGGCCGTCGGATGTGGTCCACTCCAAACTCACGGCAGAGAGTGTACACTATCCACTCTGTCTTGGGTCTTGGTTCTGCCCAGGACAGATTCAAGTGGGCCTCAAGGTGCTACCTCTGGCTGGCCTTGAAGGGCTGTGACTGTGGGAAAACCTGGCACCTGTGACCTCCAGGCCCCAGAGGTGCCCTGAACTTCAGTTCTTCAGAGGGAAGAACTTCTTCACCTGTAAGTGGAAGTGGTGCAGTTGTTACTTTTGTTTGTATCTGGGAACCTTCATGGAGAGTACACAGGAGAAATGGACTCAAGAATTAATTACAAATCCTCAGTTCCTGGTGTGGTAGATGGGTGGGCTCACCTGGTCTGTGAAGCAGGTGAAGTCAGGGCCTGACTCCTGAGAGGACTGTGGGGAGAGGAGTGAGGAGAAACATGAGAATCCTACACTTTCACTGAAGGCTGGCCATGCAGTTGTTTACATCAGATCGAGGTGCAGCTGTTTATATGAACTTCGCTGAGTGGAGAGCGATGTGGGCGGGGCCAGCCATTTCAGAAGATGTAGGATTGTTTGCTTCGTTTCTGCATAGTCTAACTTTTCTGTTCTAAGTTTGTTTCTAGAAAAAAAAAATAAATCTAGTATGTGTAATTTTTGGAACGTTTTTTAAGACAACTGAAGATGGCCTGAAAGATTATAGGTTGCTTTTCACAGAGGAAAACCTGCTATGGCTCATTGAGCCCCAGATGGCTGACCTGTGTTTCCATCTCAGACGAATGGGTGTGGGGCATCTCCTGATCTTTGGAGTCTTCCCCCTCCTCCATTTTTGAAGCTCTTCACAGGGCTCGTTCTGCCCAATTAGCCATCTCCTGACAGCAGCTGTGTGCAGTCACATCACAGATGCCTTGCCCTGGTGGCCTGTCCAACAGCCCATCTCTAGCAACTCCACCTTCAGAGCAGCTGGGGAATCTCAGGGCAGTGTTTATGACCACAAGCCACAGCTAGGGCAGCACTGGGCTCCAGAACCTCTGCTTAGTTCCAATCTGAGGGGAAAGGCCCTCATCTAAATTGTTCTGATGTGTATGCTATAGAATTGGCCATGCCACTCCCTATATATTACAAGATAGGCTTATGAAAATTAAAGTATCTCAGGTCTGGTGTAGTGACCCATGCCTGTGATCCCAGCTACTGAGAGAATAGTGATTCAAGGTCAGCCTGACACTTCCCTCCCCCACCTCCGTGTTAGTGAGACTATCTGAAAGAACATGTATGGTAGTTCATACCTGTAATCCTAATGAACAGGAAGGGAAGATGAAAGGATCCTGATTCAAGGCCAAAACAAAAAACAACCAAACAAAAAAGCAAACAACAAAGTGAGATTATCCAAGAACAAGTCAAGCATGGTGGTTCATACCTGTAATCCTAGCTGCTTGGGAGATAGAATAGGAGGACTGAGATCTGAGGCTGGCCCAGGCAAAAGCATAAAACTATCTGAAAAACAAACTAAAAGCCAAAAGGGCTAGGAATGTGACTCAAGTGGTAGAACGTTTGTCTCATATGCACAAGGTCCTTAATCAAATCTCAATCCATCCAAAAGTAAAGTTTCTCATTGCCAATTATGTGAGGAATGAAATTGGCCACAAACAGCAGAAAATCATACTAGAATCATGAAGACAAAGGAAGGTTTATTTCATGCAACCGGAATCTCAGGGTAGGCACTCATGACCTGGCTCGTGGCTCTACAGCCATCACATTCCCAGGGTCACTTGCGGTTAAAACTTGGCTGTTGTATCCCCAGACAGTACGCTAATATTGCAGAGCCTTTATCAAGAAGGCAAAAATGTTCCAAGAACACTTCACTCTGCTTTTCACGGTCCAAACTTTGTCTTATGGTTGTTCTTAGCTGCAAGAGAGTCTGCAGAAGTAGACATTTTTAATAAGGTACATGAAGGCCTTTGCAGTTTGATTGGAAAGGAAGAAAGGGGACTGGATGTTGGGTAGGCAATTAGCAATGCCCAGTACAACAGGATAACCTGATCGTATGACTCATGAGTCTGTCCAAGGAGTGCACAATGAGGCATCTTTGGTCCAAGTGCTGGTGCAACTTGGAGAGTCTGACTTGGAAGTGGAGAGGGTGGAGGCTGGGGGTGAGAGGGACTAGTCAAAAGGTATCCTCCCTAAATCCAGGTGTTACTGTGTGCCTCTAAGGCCAAGACTGCAGCTCTGCAGCATCGTTCCTAGAAACCCAGTACATGTGGTGGGAAATGAAAGGCTGGGTTTCCATGGTCCTGGTCCCCTTAATGCTGGGGACCTATAAGGTGTGACAGGCCACTCGTTGATTCATATCCCTGCATTGGAGAGCAGAGATAACCTTCATTCCTAACTGACCAAGCAGTCAAGACCTTTCCACTCACCAGAGTTCTTCCTCTCTCCTCCTCAAGAAAATCCAGCAGCTCTCAGAGGGCTCCATGTTTGGCCACGGACTGAAGCACCTGTTCCACAGCCGCCGCCGGTCTCGGGAGAGGGAGCACCAGGCGTATCCGGATTCCCAGCCTCCGCCCCAGCAGCAGGGCATGTCCGACCATGACTCCCCGGATGAGAAGGAGCGCTCCCCAGAGATGCACCGTGTCTCCTACGCCATGTCCCTGCACGACCTGCCGGCGCGGCCCACCGCCTTCAACCGCGTGCTGCAGCAGATCCGCTCCCGGCCCTCCATCAAGAGGGGTGCCAGCCTGCACAGCAGCGGAGGGGGCAGCGGCAGCGGGAGCAGCAGCCGGCGCACCAAGAGCAGCTCCCTGGAGCCCCAGCGTGGCAGTCCCCACCTGCTGCGCAAGGCCCCCCAGGAGAGCAGCCTGGCAGCCATCCTGCACCAGCACCAGTGCCGGCCCCGCTCCTCCTCCACCACCGACACTGCCCTGCTGCTGGCTGATGGTAGCAACGTGTACCTCCTGGCCGAGGAGGCCGAAGGCATCGGGGACAAGGTGAGGCTGGGCAAGGGGAGAGCCTTGCTGGGTGACGCAGAGGCAGAGCCACCCGTGGAGGGGCCTTGGGACCTGGGGACTGTGTTGAGTCCTGCCTGGTGGTACCAACACCAGTTGCCTGACATTTATCTGCCCTGGCTGAAGGAGGCAGATATATGACGGAGCCAGCACCAAGAGCTGGTTCTCCCAAGTAGCAAATTTGTGTCTGCTTGGGGGTTGTTTTTCAAAATGATCTTTTGCTCAGGCTGATAGTACCTTTGGTTTGTTTTCCTTTAACATGTTGTGAAGAGGCAGGGAGTGTGGTAGTTAACAACACAGACTAGAAGCCAGCCTGATTCTGCCACTCTCCAGCTAGACTGGTTAATCACATAACTGCATTGTTCTTCAGTTTCATCCGTTGCCAATGGGGACAATGATGCCAGGCACTGGTGGCTCACGCCTGTGATCCTAGCTACTCAGGGGCTGAGATGTGAGGATCAAGTTTCAAAGCCAGTCCAGGGAGGAAAGTCTGTGAAGCTCTTATCCCCAATTGACCACCAAAAAGCCAGAAGTGGAGGTGTGCCTCAAGTGGTAGCGTGCCAGTCCTGAGGGGAAAAAGAGAAGCTCAGGGGCAGTGCTCAGGCCTTGAGTTCAAGGAGAGGAGAGGGAAGGGGTAGGAAAGGGAGGGGAGGCCTTGTAGGATTAAATTATTTGATCTGTGTGAACTGCTTGGAATGAGTCTGGCACAGCATCATCTTTATTGTGATTACTTGCCAATGAAGGTAGGGAAGAAATCCAGGAAGGCTTGTTTGGTACCTCGTAAGTTTCTATATGCTTTTGTTTATTCATGTGGCCAATACTTACCATGTGCTACAAGAAGAGATGAGCTGTCATTGGTACTCTCTGCCCCTGTTTGTCTAGAAGGAGACATATAGGGGCATGGTGGGGGCGCAGGGCTGTGACCGATGCTGTGAGAAGGAACATCAGGGCAAGGAGTCGGGATAGGATCTAGCCAGGACTTTCTAGAGAAAACCACTGTGCTGAGTCTTGAAGGAGTACAACGTAGCCAGGAACTGGGGAGGGTCACAAGCACGTACAGGAGCGAGTGAGGGAGTGCTGATGTGCATCTGCTTTGGGAAATTGACAGGTAGATCACAGGAGGCCACTGTGTTGCGTGTGGGGGTGGAGTGAAGTTACCAAGGGTTGTTAGGAAGGAAATGAGGGAGGAAGTTCCTCTGGGGCCCTTTGTAGATAGTAGATTAGAAACAGGGACAGGACTGGAGTGAAAGAAACCAGTTTGGAAGCTATTGCAGTCTAGGTTGCTGTAATGGGAATGGGAATGGAGGAAACTGAGCACACATTTGGGAGTTAGAATTGATAGTAAAAAGTGAGGATACGGACATGGAAAACAAAGGAAAGGAAGGGATAGAGGAGGCACCTCAGGCCCATGGAGCGGGTCTGAGGGTGGGAGCCATGCTCCTAGAATAGGAGAAAGGATGGATGATTGGGAATCCTGCATCTGGGGGATGAGAGACCTAGTGGGTTCCAAGGGCTTCTCTGGCATACAGTTGTTTTTACTATGTGCTGTCACCAGTACACATTCCCTATGTCCCCACATCCCTAGATGTCTTCACAGAGGTCTGTTTCTTGGGTTCACGTGCATCTTGACTTTGGAAAACATCTGGCAGTTCATTGACTCCGCAGACATCCTGTGCCTGCTGTAGCTCTGGCCCTGGACAGCAGTTAGCTTTTGCTTTGCTGTTTTCCAATGAAGGACCTGCTTTTGCACGTATCTGTGTGAGTTCATTAAAGTGGTCCTGTAAGCTAGATAAGTTAGTTTACGATATCCCTTTCAGGTAGACAGGCTAAAAATGGTTTCTAGTGTGAAGTCCCTGTGGTAGGAGGTGCATGGAAGGTGTGGTAGTAGAGTGAGGTAGTCTAACGGAATGTAGAGTCAGAGGCCAGCAGGGCTGGGGGGAAGGCGGGGAGAGAAGGGGTAAGAAGGGCTGCAGATTGCATAGACCCTGGCGTGCTGGGGGAAAACGCCTTTGATGTTTATTTTTCTTAGTGAAATAGGAAGTCATTAGATGGCTTAGTACAAGTGAGCAACATCTTTTAAAATCACTCGGGCTGCTGGGTGGAGAATTGACCACTAGTGTGAGAGATGAGGAAGAGGTTGGCACACTCTTAGGGTGAGCTAGTAAGGGACATGGTGGGGGTTATCTGGACTTGTTCAGAGATAGAACCCGAAGCTGAAGATGGTTCACAGATTTGGGGCCTGGCCACTGGAAAGAAGAAATCACCATAATCACCATAAACTGAGTTGCAAAGAATGAGGCAAATGGATCAACCCTTGTATGGGGGGACAGAATCAGAGTTAGGTTTTGGCTGTGTTTCGTTGAGATGGCTATTAAACATCCCTGTGGGAATGCTAAAGAAGCAGTCAGATGAACAAGTGTGGAGGCCTGGGGAGAGATCCAAACCGGAGGCATAAATTTGAGAGTTGTCAGCATATAGATAAGTTTTTAAAGCGATGGGATTGAGCCATTTGCAAGCCCAGCTTCTGCAAGGAAAAGTGTGGTCTAAGAGTGAGGTCTAGATGTACTGCCTGAAAGGGTAACGTGGCCTTGTGAAATCGAGAGCTGGAGGGTCCTGCCGAGTAAACCAGGGTGTTCTAGCTGTTCATTCATGAGCAAGCGCTGTGCGTGCAGCCGCCAGCCCTACCTACCCCTCACAGGTGAGTCCATGAGTATGTTTGAAAAATCAGTTAGAAAAATACTGTCAGGCAAGTAGCTGGAGCATTATGACTGTTTCGTTTGTTTGTTTTTGTGTCTGTACTACAGCTTGAGCTCAGGGCCTGGGCACAGTCCTTTAGCTTTTTATCTTAAGGCTGACACTTTAGCACTTGAGCCACAGCTCCAACTTCTGCCTTTTCTGGTGGTTAATTGGAGGTAAGAGCTTCACTGACTTCCTTGTCCGGGCTGGCTTTGAACCTTAATCCTTACATCTCAGCCTCCTGGGTAGCTAGAAATACAGGTGTGAGCCACTGGCACCCAGATATGGCTGTTGATGAGGAGGGAAAACATGAGTTTTGTAGCCTCTAGTTGCCTTGGGCTCCTGTGCAGACCTCCTACTGGCAGAGAAGATGGAGGGAGTGGTGGGCAGTGGGAATCATCTGAAGCTGATGTGTTGTGGACAGTTGATGGCTGGAAAGAAGGGACCTGGGGACTCAGCAGGGGCATCAGCTGGGAGCATCTTTGAAGGGTTTTCCATGTGGCTTGTGTTTATCCTCCTATTCTCTCTAAGATGCTTGGAGGGGAGGGAAGTTCTCTTCTTGTGTGTGGAAAACCCAGGCCAAAGACTCTTGGATAACCTAACTAGGGACTGGGTGGTGAGTGTTGAGAGAAGAAACGGTTGCTCCTGATGGTTCTCTCTTTCTCTTTCTTTTTTTCTATCTTTCTTTCTTGCTATATTTTGTCAGCTGTGGGGCTTGAATTCAGGGCCTGGGCGCTGTCCCTGAGCCTCTTCGTGCTCAAGGCTAGCGCTCTACCACTTGAGCCACAGCACCACTTCTGGTTTTTGAGCAGTTAATTAGAGATAAAGGGTGGGGAGGTGGGGGCTGGGAATGTTGCTCAGTGGTAGCGCTTACCTAGTATGCATGAAACCCAGGGTTTGATTTCTCTGTAGCTACATAGAAAAAGCCAGAAGTGGCACTGTAGCTCAAGTGGTAAAGTATTAGCCTTGAGCAAAATAAGCTCAGAGACAGCACATAGGCCCTGAGTTCACAAGCCCCAGGACTGGCCAAAAAAAAAAAGAATCTCATGGGGACTTTTCTGCCCAGGATGGCTTTGAACTGTGATCTTTAGATCTCAGCCTTCTGTGTAGCTAGGATTACAGGCATGAGCCACTGGCACCCAGATGTTCTATTTCTTTGGAACTTTTAGCCTTGTTATATATCTTACTTGGTTAATCTTAGTAACAGATAGTGAAGTGGCAGAGTAGGTATTATTATCTCCTTTGACAGATGAACAGGCTAAGGCCCAGAGGAATGGAGAGACTGCTTGCCCAGGACACCTTAGGTCTTGGCAGAGAGGAAACTAAATCTTGTGTTTCTTGTCTGTCCACCAGTCCCAACTGTAATCTGAAACAGTTCAGAGGGTCCTCAGAGCCCAGGGAGGAAAACTCTTGGGTGCTGGGTTTTTTGTTTTTTGTTTTGTCCATTGTGGGGCTTGAACTCTGGGCCTGCGCGCTGTCCCTGAGCTCTTCAGCTCTACCATTTGAGCCACAGCGTCACTTCCAGTTTCCTGATGATTAATTGGAGATAAGAATCTCATGGACTTTCCTGCCCTGGCTGGCTTTGAACTGTGATCCTCAGATCTCAGCCTCCTGAGTAACTAGGATTACAGGCCTGAGCCACCAGGGCCCGGCTCTTGGGTGCTATTTCTGCTTCAGGTAAAGGCTTTCTACTTAGAGCTGTCCCTCCAAGGGTAGGTGTGGCCCTGGTGGTCCTGAGGAGACAGAAGGGCTTCCTTGTTTCTGAGAAAGGGGTCTTCCAGTCATCCTAAACCTGAAGCTGTATCTGCTGACTCCCACAGACTCAAAGCCCATTGATTGGTGTGAGTCTGGGGCATGAATAGGAAGTATTCTTCTAGCTAGTAAACACAGCCCACATGCTCTCTGCAAGCTCTCTGGCGATTACTAGCATCTATTTTTAATTCATAAGCCTCCCCCACTCCCTAGCCCTTTGCCATTGTTCAGAGCTCACCAGCTGGCTTGCGGACCCTAACGGACTCAGTGCAGGGTTGAGTTACCGAAATACCCCAGAGGCAGCTGAAGTTCCTCTGCCACCCCAGAGGCTCACCCAACCCCCACCTAAGGAAGCAGAGGCCCTAGCCTCCTGCCAAAGCTGGGTATGGCAGGGGGAAGGAGGGTGGGGGGGAGAGGGACTCGGCGCAGTCTCAGTTACTGCAGTCTGGCTATCAATTGTTCCTTCCAAATCCAGTTAGCTGCATTCAAGGTTG